TTTCTCATGTTGGCGGTAGTCACAAGCAATCTCGCATCGCGACTTTGCTCGGGTAGATTACCGAATGCTACAATTCGGTTGAAATCAATCAAAGCCGTCAATTTGGTCGTCTTATTTTCTGCAATGAGACAAAAAAGTTTGTTAGAAAATAAAAACTGAAGGAAAAGGAACAATTTGCAAATTGAAAGAAAGGAAAACCTACTCGGCTCCCTAAACTGGCAGACACCATTGCACTAAAAAAAAAAAAGAATTGGTTTCATAGGCCCGGACGTTACTGGGGTAACCAAATATTCCTCCCTTGATCGTAGATCGCTTCGAGAGTTAAAAAGAATTTTTATCCTTACTCTTCTTCAGATAGTAAGAGCATGCGAGCTCCAGCGCTGTCAGCTCACCAAGGCCATTCTTGCCACATGCGATATACATAGCAACAACTATCATATACGCGTTGGGTGTCAATTGCAATGGCGCGACCTTGAAGTGGTCAAGGATCGATCTAATGAGGGGGTGAAAAGGTATCAACGCCCCACATTTGAAGATCGCCTCTGAGATCGCAGCCATTTCCTCTGGGGGATTCTGAGCTGTATATGTTATGTATTGGTAGACATCCACGCTAAGTGCGTATTGGTCCATTGCTTTTTGTATCTCATCCCGGGTGGCCCTTGAAAAGGTCTCTTGCACGGGACCTGCTAGGGCGATGGGCGCCTGCGAGCTCGTCCCTTCGACTACTTTGGTCGTTGTCGCTGAGGCATCCATTGCTCCCAAAGTTTGAAAAATGAGCGACACGCAGAGAAAACTCAATCTTCGTATAGTGTTCTGTACGATGACGTAGAAGAACAAAAGAAACCCTAATGTGCCTTCCTTAAACCTTAGAAAAACCCTTGGGAAATGAATCCCCAAGGATTCATGCCCTAAGTTCTCATTTTTTATAAAGACAAAACCTCTCTTCTCACCACTGCCCAGAAATATGCACCATGAAAGTTCACCAGACAGTTCATATCTACCATCGATCAAGCTACTAACAAAATAATAAAAGAAAGTGAAAAAGAAATCCTCTTTACCTCTTGGCTGCGGGGAATGAACTTCCTATCGTAACGAAGGGCGCGTATCAACTGAAAAAAAGGGAGACCGATTTCGTGAGAGCTTTATTCTTTCTTTGAAAGTATGAGTTCTGTGACAAAACTTGAGGCGAGCCTGAGGTTTTATAGGGGGAAAAAGCGATGATTGATTTCCCTAGGCAAGCGACGCTTGGGTAGGATACGTTTCTTGCTATTGATTGCGACCACGTGTCATTAATTAGCGAGAAGAAGTAAATGTCACGCTTCGATAGTGCCAATCGACGCTTCCCTCCATTGGAGCAACCAAGCGACAACTCAATTATCTCTTCCACATTAAATGCACTCTCATCCGCATTTAATGCTCTGAAAGAGAATGTCGTTTCAGCATGACTTGCATTTAATGCGCATGGCTGGCACTCATTGCACAGTAGACACGTCTATCAGAATAAAGATTATTTTATTGACCAAACTAGCTGTCAAGAGCAACAAATAACATCTGTAGAGGTCGTTTGGGTAAAACACTCTTCGTCGTGCGTTGGTTTCGAGACGATGTGACTCCTTGCTCTTAGTAAAAATGTGCTAAGTATTCTCAGGTCACGAACTGCGGATGAGATTCAAAGCATGTCGGTATGGCACTGAGTGGGGTCTGACCTAAGTCGTTGAACCTGTGGGAGAAGGCCACCTCAGGTCGCTTGTGCTATTCTTAGAGGTGTATGCTGCAACCTCCTTACAGCTCGATCAGCTCAACCAAACGTCATTTGGGACAGTCAATTCGTGGCATAATCATGAAGTTCTCAAGGTTCAATCCTTAAACCTTAAAAACTGGGGGGCCTTTGTTATGCCTAAGAAGTCAAGGCTGACGTGGACTCTCGTCAGCAAGAGCCAATCAGAATTCAGGGAGGCTTTGTGCGGTCCAAATGTTGCCACGTCGCGCAATGACGGAAGAAGTATAGTTCTTGTCAATGCAGTAGGTGAATGCCAAGCTTGCGAGTGGCTAGCGATCATCCACCTGCCCAAGTCCTACGCAATTTGAGGATATTTCTCATGCAGACTACCAATGGGATACAAGGGAGGACTTGCACAACACCTACCCACTTGTAGATTTGTAATCATTACCTTGAGTTCTACCACTATAAATAGAGGACTCCTCTCTCATCTACAGGATTGGCTTATCTTAGTCTGAAATAGCATGCACACACACACACACAAGCACACACACTTTCTCTCTCTCTCTCTCTCTCTCTCTCTCTCTCTCTCTCTGTATTCTCTCTAGATTGTAACTCAGTTCGCTACACGCAACCTGACTGTATCCATCTAATAATACAACAAAAGTGGACGTAGGATTCGCTTTTGAGCATCCGAACCACTTTAAAATCCGTCTTTTGTTCATTCTCTTGCTACACATTTCCGTATCACGTGTAACTTCTAATCTCTCATAGCATTTTGTACGTGCTAGTTGTTGGTGTCAAAATCAAGCATCAACAGTTATATATCTTCTTCAATTAAATTATGTAATATATGTGGTAAACAACAATAATTTGATATGCTTATACCACTGAAAGAATAATTTTCTTAAGTGAATAGTGAAAATAATTTATCTTATGCTTTTGTGTCAAAACAATTCTATTGGTACAAAGTAATGAAGTATTATAACAGACCAACATATTAAGACGTGACAAAAATTTAATATTTTTAAAATATGTGAAATAAAAAAATACTCGTATTGTGTTTAAAACGTTTCAACATTACCCAAACACAAAACTCGGGCGCCTGTAATTTCTCTTCCCTCTTTCTTCTTAAACTTAAGTCTATGTATAAAGTACTAAACTTTTCTTTAATCGTGAAAATGAATAACATAATATTATGAAGGTATAAGTCATGAAACTGGGGCGAAAATCTTTGCAATAAACTGAATGGTATGAAAAAAATTCATTATGTCATTGTTTTGAATTAACAGGTTTTGCACAATGAAAGTCGCAATCCACATGTTACCAAAAATTCAAAGGCATCATTGTCTTTAGACAATCAAATTTCCGTTGTCATTGTTAAATCTTCAAAGCTTTATTCAAAGATATATGAGAATTATTGTAACAGTGCAATTTCTTGTGAGAAATTTTTAAAGTCAAACAAGAAATAAGTCTTCATAGAGAAAGTTCCAGATTTTAGGCCACTTAAACCAACGATATTTTAATATATAATACCGTGTAAAACCAGTGTTGAAGTTTTAATTTGAAATCTGCAAATCTTTTTTCTTTGAAGAAATATCAGATTCGGTCTTCCAGTTCGTTGAGAAGTTAATTTTTGACATTGAAAGAATGGAAATTTTATTTTGAATAGAAAATGTGAAATTTTCTAAACTTTTGGTTACAGAAAGAGAGATGGGGTCAGTGTTTTCACATTGAATTGAACCACTTCATTTCTCATTAGTCGGCATCAAAACAAACTGCCATATATGATATTAAAAAAACATATTATATTATGAAATAAATTATGGTTTTTAAACTATTAACTTGTAAAATATATAAAAAGATAAAACGTAAATATTCGAGTGAGGTAATTGATCACTTATATAAGAAGGTGAAGAAAATAAAGCAATAAAAGAAATAACAAAGAAAAAGTAGGCTTTCACATTTCAAGAATACATAATTTACTAAAATTTCTAAAGAGTTAGGCTAAAGCATACTACATTTATAGATCACATAAATTAAAGGTGGTTTGTTTATTATTATTTCTAGTAACAAAACATGTGCCCTTTTCACACCAACATCGTATCATCTTTGCTTCAAAAATTAAAACTTACAAATTAAATAATAAATATATGAATCACAATATTTGGTGGATGTGTACATTTGTCACACCTTGGTGTAAAGATTGCTAAATAATTAATTTTTGTAAAAATCATGTGCTTTGATGCATCTCGCATGCCCACTATTTAAACACCACTTTCCATCCACCTTTTAGCCACGCCATTTTGTTTTTTTTTTTTTTAATTTCATATATATTGATAATACATATTTTCACCTTAATGAATTAAAAATTAAATCCATTTGCGTAATTATTTTTTCAGCATATAAAAAAAGTCTTCATCTTGTATTTTGATAGATTATATAATTATATTTATTATAATAATTTGATTAAAACGCTCAAGTTAGGTGAAATATACATTTTATTTTCTATCACTTTCTGTAAGTCCTTTTTATGTTTAAATACATTGAATAAAATAAGTGACAAGAAGACTATGTTAATATTTGTAAGCTTCGTTTATTTAAACTATTACCTTAGGTCCATTCAAAATAATAATAATAATAATATCTTCAGTATATTGCGTAAAATTATGGTTATGAGATTCAAAGTGATAGAATATATTAAGATGAAATATTACTCTAAAATAAAAGATAATTAATTATTTAATAAATAATTTAGTGATTAAAAAATTGAAGCTTCCAAATGCAAAATATTTATGGTAGGTTCTTGAATATAGAAAGTCTTTTACAAATTTTATGATGTTTTATCCTACTAAAAGATAAGAACTCCACAACCTCAACTCTATCTAGTCGTAATTGAAATTTTCAGAAATTTAAAGAAGTATCATTAATATCTATTTTAATCGAGATTAATAGGAGAAATTATTCTTGTAGTCGTGAAAGGATCATAATCAGAGGAAATTGCTGCCTTGAAGCTAACAATTTTCTTTGAAATTATACTTGTTATTACTTTCTCGTCAGTTTTTTTTTTTTATATTTAATGAAAAGATTATTATATGGTTTATTCTTAGATGAGAACTGTTAATAGGTTATATACTGTATAAGGATTATACAATAAGTTAGATGAAATATAGAAGTAAAGTTGGAGAAGTCAACTTTCAACAGTCAACACCTTTCATCTGCGTAACATTTACATTGTTTTGTTGCATATAATTTTCTAAGAAAACCCATTGCCCACGCTATTCACAAAGTCTACCTTAGAATTAAAAACCAACATAAAATCCTTCTCTGCTCTTCCATCTCTCCCATCTCATCTGAGACACCAAAGCAGCGAACTCCAATCCCTCCGCCATCATGAGCTACGACGATGATCATGATCATGATCCTTCATCTTTCACTTCCAAAAACCCTTATGATCTTAACAGCAAGATCATGCTCACTGCCATCATTTCACTATCTTTCGTCGTAGTTCTAGTTATAGTCCTTCACATCTACGCACGATGTGTCCTCAGACGCCAAGCCAGACAACGCCGAGCGGCTATTCGTAGTCTGGACCTCACCGCGGCTCATGGCCAATCCGGTGAGCCGCCCAAGACCGGCCTTGACCCTTTGGTCATCTCCTCCTTGCCTATGTTTGTCTTCAAACAGAAAGATGGTGTTGATGTTGAGACCATGGTAATAGAGTGCGCGGTTTGTTTAAGCAATCTTGAAAACGAAGAGATGGCCAGACTTTTGCCGAATTGTAAGCACACTTTCCATGCAGGGTGCATAGACAAATGGTTTGGTTCACATTCCACATGTCCCATCTGCCGCACCGAGGCCGAGCCGCGGCTGCAGCCGGAATCCCGTGAGGGTCCTTCCTCTGCTGTTGCAGCCACAGCTCCACCGTTGGAACGTGTGAATTCCACATTGTCATGCCAGGAAGGGACATCGAATACTGGAGGTGAATCCTCTGCTAAAATTTTAGGTTCCAGTTCAAGATTGAGTTCTTTCAGAAGAATACTCAGCAGGGATAGATCGTCAAGGAGACTTCAATCTTGTTCCCAAGAAGATATGGTAGATTTGGAGAGACAGTGATTATCGGTAAAGGCCTAAATTTTCTACAGTTAATATTTCATTAGATTATGTATTATAAAATATAAATTCGTAATTTTTTTTTTTTTTTTTATATATTTTTCTCTCTGTTGTCAGGCTTTATTTGCATTTTATTAATCTAGTACATAATACAGTTGATAAACATAGAAAAAAAAAGAAAAAGAGGGCTCCAATTGCACCGCATAGAGATTATATACTTATAAATTAAAGGGATTTTATATTATAAAAAAGGCTTGTATGATTTTCAAACTTTGTGATGTCTAATTATTAATTAATTAATTAAATGGTGTCTGTTAAGTCTAAAGAGGAAGTATTTGGTAACCTAAGCAGATTATAGAAATGTATTAATTAGGTGCATGCCATGTGAACCAATCTCTTTATTAGTCATTGACCAGCGAATATCTTAATTATCTGATTAATTTTCAACTTATTACCATTTTCAAGGGATTCACACTGATATGCTCTATTGAAAATAGCAAGGAATTAAACTCATCACCCCAATAGTACATTTACTGGTGAATGCAATGTTTGTTCATATTAATATTCAAAGTATGGTTGGAACCTAACAGAGTAGTTAATAAAGAAAACAATAATTTAACGAATGCTGAGCCCCTTAATCTGACTTAGCCTTCATTTTAATATCTAGATTTTTTTTTTTTCAGTTGACTTTATATGTCTGCAATTTCTAAGTGTAACTTGACCGCAAGGTTATGGTAATTGTATGCAGTTGACACATCTTTATCAAGTTCTGGAAATTTGTAAATAGCCAAGTTTGACAATAAGATCTAGAAAATACAGGGTTTTACAATACCTTCTTGATTTGAACTTTGAATTTGTCTCAAGTTTAACCACCATTTTATTATACGATTATTTGGTGAAATTAGTTTCTGGTTTGGAGTCAATTATTTCCACGATCTTCAGAGAGAACACGCCAACAAATAACAAATCAGTTGACTTTGAGTAAATGCCATCATTCGTCGTCAGTTAATTAGTCTCCATCAGCATGAATTAGAGCCAGTCTGATATGTTTGTTAAAAGAAGCTTGAAATGCCTACTTTAGTTATCTGCCTGATGATGTTTGAATGCTACATGACATTAAATAAAGAAAAAAAGTAAAGCAGGGAATACGAAAGTAAAATTCAGGCGACGACACCTGGGCTGTAATCTGTGCTGCTTTTATGTCAAATCTTCTTCGTATTCAAAGCGTCATTTGTTGTTTGGTGTGGGGCGGCGTCTTGCTTCTTTAGGCCACAACTTGCGTATTTTGTTCGTTTGTTACTAAAGACCCAACTACCTACCTTTCCGCCATATTCACATCAACTACTCTGTTTTTATTGTCTGCAAATCACTAATCTACTCTTTTTTGGCTTCGGTCAGTCAAATTTATTGTTTTGAATCTAACCTAGTTATCATCAATGAAAGAAAATTATTTTGTCTTTTGGGATTGGATACTTGGATCTCCTACTCATCATCAAATACTATCTTGGAACTTCACCAACAAAATAATTAGTTTAAGGATACTAAATCTCATGGATATGCTCAAAAACAACAATCATTCCTTGTGATTTCTGTTGTTAAAGCTACTTCTCAAATCTAATATGTTTTGCTGCCCTGGAATTGGAGCCAAACTCTAAGGCCACACAAATATTCCAATTAGGAATATAATCCCCAAATGAACAGAAACAGACTTCTAATATGAAACAAATAATTGGATAAACTATGATGTGTAGATTAACAATTGAAGATAACTATAATAATATCAAAAATATTAACTCAAAAACACCCTAATCCAATAACCAGAACTGTTCCTAAACGTCTACAAAAGTATAATCTCAACAGAAGGTCTGTGCCCTTTTTTTGGACAGTTTGAAGAATATGATGCATAAGAAGGGAGAAAAAGAACAAAAAAGAGAAACCAGTAGCCTATCTTACTCAAATTATACTCAAAAAGAACAAAAGAATGGTAATGAAGGGCCAAAACCATGCGCGAGCCATCTGTCTGCAGCCACTAAAATCTGCACTATTTGTGCCCATTCCCACTGTTGTTGCTGTTGAGCCTGCATTGTTCCCATTCTTCACTGCCGAGCTGCATTATTAAATCCAAATTTATCAAACAATCTAATCATCAATTTAACAGCAATTTTAAGTGGAAAGAAGGGTGTTAAATGCGTAGTTTCTCCTCTAAATTTGCACTATGTCACTAAAGATTATGCTTATGAGCTTCTTTTCACATTTCAGAACAGAGTAACTAAATCTAAACGGCAATTATTTTAAGGGATATCATTTCAACATAAATGAAAAATGAAAGCCATTTCTAACTCTATTTATTTTGACACAAATCCCGGGCCAGTTTACTAATTCAATTTCTGGGATTTGGTTTTCCCCAAAACCAAACAGAGCTCAAATCATAACAGTTAGAAAGTAAGTAAATAAAGAAACAGAAATGCACTCTTTATAAGCTTCTAAAGGCATTACCTAGCTGGGAATTTGCAGCTACCTCGACCTGAGATCAAAACAGAGTACAAAAATCAATAATTATGCAAAAGGGTCTTATAAGCAAATCAAACAGAATTTGATAAATAGTATATGACTTGTAGATCCAGAAGCACATAAAAAGAATTGAAGCGTTGTGTTTGATACTGACTAGGGTTCAAAGAAGTGACAGCGGCAGAGTTATCAAAGTTGCAGCTATCATCAGTCATGCCGTGCTTCAAATAGTAGTCATTGAAAGCATAAGACGCCATTTGCTGAATATCACTGGGGTCATAACAAGGCCCGCCTTGCTGGATTGGGCTACAGTCCACTCCCCCTTGACCGCAGGCCCAGGCCAGCGCCCCCTGCAGGGCGGCGTCCTCCGCGTTGTTCTTAGCCACGCACCACAGCTGCTGCGATACCACAACCCCACCGTTCTGGGCCCTAACGACTAACAAAAACGCGTGAAAAATGAGCGGAAGGAGGAGAAAGAAAGTGAATTTGCTAGACAAAGACATGTCTTTTTAAGAGAGAGACAACAATATGATTGTGATTGCTATCTTGATCTTATTGAGATTGTCTTAAAGAGAGGGGGAGAGAAGAGAAAAACGCGTTTGGATTTAGTTTGGTTATATTGGGGAGAGAGTTGGGATTGATGCGAAATGACCGTTGGTGTATCGAAAAGAGAGATCTGTGGGCTTAGTGGGTAGTGTCGTAGGGAGAGTGGCGGAGACGGGGGAGTGAAGAAGAGTAAAGGTCATTTCAACTAGGCTCAATAAGTCTTTGTCGTTTTATCAGTTAATCTATCTGGTGACCAGATATTATTGCCATCTTTGTCGGTTATACTATTCTTTTATTTCAGAGGAGAGGGAAAACAATAACCTATGTCTTTTACGAATTCCTTCTTTTGATGTCTCTTTATTTTAACTTTCATCTACCCAGAAGGTGCATTTAATGTCTACTTTTATCTCGATTAAAAAGCATATTTGGTTAAAAAAAAAAAAAAAAAAAAAAATTAGAGGTTTTGTAAGTTTTGAATTCCAATCATTTCCATGAGATTGTTACTTGCTCAACACTTTTAAGAGATTAATTCAAATGCCACAGACTGACTTAAATAACTTGAGTGATTAAAAAAAAGAAAAAAAACACATTTGGATAAGTGATACAAGTCTTTGATCAATTTATAATCAAATTAACATTAGCATTTGATGGAAAACTTAAAACGTTTGATTTTAGTTCACCAAATATATTTTAATTTATTAACGACCGAGAAAATAACATGTGTATAGAAGCAATAGATTTATATTATTAATAGGATGAAAGCCAACTTATACTACTAGGGAAGAGTCATTAATTTAAGATTTCATTTATTCTTTTGCCTCTCTGCTGCTTTAATATAACCTTGTCAATAATTCAAAATTTTGCCAATGAATTGCGGTGTAAAACATTTTACCTATATTTTTCATCTTCTGCGTTGTTCTTAACTTATAAAGCGACTAATCTTGAGAATTAGATAGGAAAAGAAAGTTGAGGGCTTTTCACTGTTTGAATTGGCTTCTAAGTTATGTTAATGAGGCACACGTGGACAAACGAGAGGCGGTGAGGTGAATAATTGATTATGTAATGCTTACACTTCAGCAAAACTGGATCTTGTCATGAAGTCACCATCCCTCATACTAATGGAAGCTCATAAATTAATAATTGATTTCCTCCTTAGATAGTTGAATACAGATAATGATACACTATACAGCAAAATAGCATACCCCACCAGAAAATTAGAGCCTTTTCAGTAGCAATGCTTAGCCTCTGAAGCTTCAAGTTTATGCAATGAAGTCACAGAAAAAGAACCATGACAAAGCATCTAGTACAACGTGGATTTGACTCTGAAATTTGGTCATCACTCAAGTAACCCAAAGCACGGCTTTATTGAAGCTTTTGTAAGTCTTTTATTTATAAATTTGGTCATCTGAGATTAGGATTTAGGACCATCCTAAAACATAGTCAAGAGCAGACACGAACAGCAGAGAGAGTGGATAAAGCGCATAGGCCACCAAACACAACCAAAGAGGGAAGGTGGTGCGAAAGCTGGCAATGAGGCCCGTTACAAAGCAAACAAGTAGAATTACCAATACTAGCTGAAAAGTTCCATGTCAACTGACGAAAGTAAACAAGACCCAGAAACACTGACAGGGAAAGGATATTACTCATGGTCACAGATCCATATATCTGAAACAATATTGTTCCACGTATTAGGGACCATAATTATAAGCCAAACCAACCTTATTGCACGTTTTCTGTTTAATGTTAAAAAACAACTAGTAAAGAGGATACAAACCTCAGAGTATGTTAAGGATGCAGTTCTCAACCTCTTCCGGCTGGCAAAAGTTAGAGTTGAAACTACCTCACTAGAGGTAACAAATGGCAAAATGATGAATGAGATGAAGAAAGAAGGAACGCTTGAAGCAGTTGAGAAGTTGTCAACAGCGTCTACAAGAGGATCAGAACGCACAGCACCCATAAGCAGCATCAACACTGCTTTGGAGGCTTTCCACTTGGGATTTCCGATACTTTCTACGACCTCATCGTTTTCATCTCCCAACGGATCATACTCTTTCCTCGCCCGCTGTATTGCATCAATAATTTGTATCATGCAAAGAGATAGAATCTGCCTGCAGGAGGAAACCTTCTTAATATCAATAAATGAGCAACATACCTGATCAAAATCATTCAAAATTGTTAGTTTCATGGGAGTTCCATCCCGCCGTTTAGCAGAATGTTTAGCCTTAATAAGCCATCTTGAGATTCCAGCAACAAACTCATTCACATCGATGAATGAATCTTCAGATTTATCCATGTCTTTCAGAACTTGTTCAACAGCGTCATTGATGTTCATGTCTATCTCTTCGAATTGGATTCCTACTATCAGAGCCCTTAATTCCTTAGCGGATAGTCTTCCATCTGAATCCTCATCAATTGTGCTAAATAACCTGTCAGTAATGCGAAGAGTGCAATGAAAGTCAGATACTGACTTGCAAATTGATGTCTAGTTATACTTGTGCTGAGTGCCCAAAGTTTTTCATGGTCTAGCATACAAAAGAAAAGGGGTTTCTTTGTTTTTAATTCTTATAAATCTAATTAAACAACATGGTAATAAATATAGAAGGATGTTAAGCGAAGACCAACTTCTGTATGACATCTATATTAGGTAGACCATCATCTGTAAAGAATCTTCCCAGTGTGTCCGATCTCAAATGTTTTAAAATTCCCGATATTACATGCTTATGCCTTAGATATGCAATTCTTCTCTTTTGAATCAAAGGCTGGAATACCTGCGTCAGTATTCAAAAAAATGTTCTGAATCAGTTCAAAGGACAAAGAAAGAGAACAAACTAAGATCTTATGGTTAATTTGCTACAAGTTAACAGGGCTTGTTTCCGGCAGAAAATTCATAAAATCAACAGCTAGCAATGTGATCTTGAGGATCATTTATGAATTCTAGTTTTAAGTACCTGATAAAGGCAATAAGAAAGCACCAAAGAAATGGAGACGATGAGTGAAATCAGGATTACTAAACGACTACTAGAAGCTGCAGTGAGGAAATATTGTGGTAACTGGACAATGATGAATGGGATAGCAGATATAATCATTATCCTTGCAGCATAGCTCGTCCAAATCTCAGTGCTCACACGAGATCCTGCAAACATAATTATAGAACAAGTATGCATCAGGTTATTGACATCCAAACATTGAGCATTCACACCTGGAACTACAAGTTCCGTAGTTCTTCTGGTCAAATTCGCTCAAAAAGGGAAAAAATTGAGTATAAATTTCATTGTTGAAACTATTTTGAAGTAGCTAAACAGCAACATAGAGCTGAATAAGTAAAAGGCCTACGGAAGGAAACAGATGCCACAAAACACACTAATAATATAGCGTTATACCAGTTAAGCTGAATCTTTTAGTATCTTTCAAATCTACTGCAGTGGAACCTTCAATGTCACACTTCCCGGCTAGAAGACAGGAACCCCACAATATAGTTAAAAGCATAACTGTTGATCCAGCCATCAAGCCCATCCCAACAGATACCTGACTTTGAGCAGTATCCTTGCTCCCAGATAGTCCAGAAGCTACAGAAAAAACAGAGAGTATATCAGCATAAAGTGACCACTTGAACGTCAATATTAGAAGATCTCACTCTTTTAATATCTGTACTGTTTCGAGGAAATCCAAATTGGTGGAAAACTTGTAATTACTCTTATACAGTCATTATCTGATGAAGTTCTTGTCCCTGCAGTTCAACTACAGTGCAAAAGCCAAAAATAAAAAATCCATGCAAGTTCAACCTTTTTCCTAACACTACAGCATTGATAATCAGTTGGATTGTAGGTCAAGCCAGGACTGTTCCGATTTCAAACAAAGCTAAGCCAAAACAGCGCTGCCGAGTTTACTTCTCGTTTGTTATAAAAATAATAATAAATAAATAAATAAAAGGAACAGTGAGGCTTTAGTTATTCCTTGTGGAAAAATATGAAATTATATTCTATAATAAAAGTTTATACCACATGTTACTTACGATGAGCGTTCGAATATTCGAGGGAAATTTATGTCAACTTGAAATATATAAAATAATGAATAAGTAGAAGTTGCAAACGTTGAAGCAAGGCTGCAGGAAAATGAAAGCACATGAATTTATATCACAGATTAGTTGTAAAATATAAGCAACTGGTCGGGAATACACTTGTGCTCTCCGTAATTGATTGGAAAAAAGGAACCAAAATATTAAACTATATAATATTTTAATTTAGTTAGAATTATCAACTGTCTGGTTACAGTTTGCCCGTATGGCGGCTTGGAACCTAATCATAGAATAGCAAAACTTACCAAGATAAAATTAGAAGAGATCAGAGTTATGTGATCCCTGTCCGATTCTTGTATCAACCAAATGAGAGATAAATTAAACTGCTATTAAGACATATAGTTGTAAGGACTAAGGAAACCTCGCATAAGGAGATTCATTACTAATAATAGTTAAGCACTGTTATGCCTAAGGAAATAAAGGCCTGACGTGGGAAGAGTCACGTGAAGGGCGACCTGCTCTCGTCAGAGCAACACGCACACGTCAGACCTGCCAAGTGATGTGGAGCCCACACGCGTCCTTTCTCCTGCCACAAGTCGTGCGATGTCAGCTTGGAAAAAGGGAAATGGGACATAAAGCCTGATTATACACTGACAATCACACCAAACCACGGATTTAGCAATGATTATACATTTCAGTTCAGTATAAAATAGGGAAGACCCCTTCATTAAGGGGATTCGGCCATTTTACATAAAAAAGGAACAAAACAGAAATTTCTCTCTTGTAAAACTTTGCTTTGACTTTTTCGTCTGTTGTAAGTCAGCTCGCGACCGCGACCTGACACCCACTAATATCAATACAAATCAGTGGACGTAGGACTTGCTATCTTAGCATCCGAACCACTTAAAAATTCCCTCTACAGCTATTTTATTTTTCTGACATTCTATTTTCACGTACATCAAACAGTCACTTGATATTATACACGTAAAAATTCGTTGGTGCAAAATCCAGCATCAACAAGCACTCAGGACCAAACAACAGACCGCACTAGTTTGAACAAAGAAAGAAAGAAAACAATGTTTAGTTTGAAGAAACAAATGTCTTGCAGGCAAGTGCAAACATTTGAAGAGTGAAAGCAACATGGAGAGGTGGCAAAGTATGGTTAATTAAGCTCACCGAGGATGACTGCTGCATCAAGAACAGAGCTCAACACAGGCAAGAATAGACCACCAATAATGCCGGGACCGAGAATTTGCAGCAAAATTTCAGTTCCATCGGACAAAAACTTGGCAGCCAGGAACATCAAGTAGCCATAGACAAGAATAAGGAAAACATTGCCAAAGACAGTGGTGGTGCATGGCAAAAATCCATAGGTTTGGTCACAGGTATGCGATGATATCAAGCTGTTAAGTTGGATGAATGTTGGTTTCTCAACAGCTTGGATTCCGTCAGAGACCATGACAGAGGATAAATCGCTAATAGGCCGACTCTGTGCAGGGCTAGTTAGTGTTAGATAAAAGATGGGTATAAGAAAGAATGCAATTGTTTTTGCCATAACTTAAATTGGCTTTGTTAAACAGATTGACTGGCGTATTAGTCTCTATCTTTTTTTGCTGCACAGGCTCAGATGACTGAATATGAAGCTGGAAACTTTGGTATTTGAAGAGGAAGATGAGAATGTGATTCAACATAATAATAAGTCAACAAAGAAGAAGCAAGAGGAATTGTATAAAATATCAAACGAAAACCAATTTGAGAATAAAATAACTGAAAATGAAGTTCTTATACAGGAGGTACCTTAAACCTTACTGCAAAGTAGGTTTAGGTCGTCAAGTACCAAGTGAAGTTGGTCTTTATTTTAAATTTCGACATCAATCATATAACAACTTCAATCTTTAATGAAAATATTTTTGAACTTGTTAGGAAAAAACTATGATTAATCATCACATTGTACCTGTAACACTAATGATTTATAATATACAAAAAAAATCATTATACTATAATTTAAAAATGCAAGTGGATAGTACATGGAAGAAGTACTTTAACATTAGGGTAAATGCCAAAAAATACCCTCAACCTCAACTTGCCACGGTATTTCAAATTTTCTATTTTAACTTTGTGGGGGAGAGTCGTCACTATAAGGTGTTGATAATCTTTTGCTCTTGGAGGCTAACTTCTTCGGTTGTACCATAACCTTGTCAGTAATTCAAAATCTTGCTTATGAAATGCACTCTCACCTTTTTCTTTTGCACCTTCTGTGTTCATCTTGAGTTACAAAGCAACAATTCTTGAGAATTGGAGAAGGGGAAAATAGTTGAGGCCATTTTACTATTTTGAATTGGCTCTTTTTCTATAGCGAGTGATGTCGATAATTTATGTTAATGACGCACATGGATGAATGTGAAGTGAATAATTGATGTGTAACGATTACCCTTAAACTAAATCGACTCTTTTTATGAAGTGATGTCCATCCCTCATAGTAATGAAGAAATTAATTGCTGATTTACTTGGATAGTTGAATACATATGGTGACAGGCTATACAGCAGTAATAGTTTTATGAAGAACCGTAACAAAAAGAAGAGAGAGCACCGATTACAAACAGGCTTTGATTTTGAAATTTGGTCGTCGCGCACAAGTAACCCGAAGCTCGGTTATATAGCTTATTGAAGTTCTCTGCTTCTTATAAACTGCAATGGACTAGGACCATCCAAGAACATACACCAAAGGAGAGAGAATGGATAAAGTGCATAGGCCACTACACACATCCAAAGAGGGAAGGTTGTGCGGAAACTGACGATGAGGCCCGTTGGAATGCAAACTAGCAGAATTACTAATACTTCAGCTGAAAATTTCCATGTCAACTGCCGGAAGTAAACAAGTCCCAGAAACACTGACACCGAAAGTATATTACTCATGGTTACCGACCCATATATCTGTTTCAAGAAAATTTCACAATTATCAGGGGCCATAATAATTTTGCTATAAGTTAAGAGAAGATGCAAGCAGGTGAAACACTAAACGAAAGATAAAAATGAATTGTTTTATTTTATATTGCAAAGCATGTGAAGAAGATACTAACCTGTGAGTATGTTAAGGATGCAGTTTTCAAACTCTTCCGGCTCGCAAACGTTAGCGTTGAAACTACCTCACTAGAGGTTACGAATAGCAAAAGAATGAATGAGACAAAGAAAGAAGGAACGCCGGATGCAGTTGAGAAGTTGTCAACGGCATCTACCAGAGGATCAGAACACACAGAAGCTATAACTGTTCCCATAAGTAGCATCAACACTGCTTTGGAGGTCAACCACTTGGGATTCTTAATACTTTCAACTATATCATCACTCTGATGCCCCAAAAGATCAAACTCCGGTATTGTTTTCTGCATTTCATCTACAATTGCATCACGCAAAGAGACATGACCTGGAGGAAACCTTATGAAGAAATTATGAACATACCTCATGAAAATCATTTAAAAGTTTGACGTCTGAGCGTTTTCATCTGGTTTTCTGGTAGCAGAACGCTTCACCTTGTATAGCCATCTTGAGATTCCTGTGATAAACTCCTCCACATCAATATGTAAATCCCGAGATGTGTCAAACTCTTCCATTAATTGTCTAACAACATCATCATTGTTTATATCTATCTCTTCAAATTGGATTCCTATTATCAAAGCTCTTAATTCGGTAGCTGATAGTTTTCTATCCGAGTTCTCATCAATTGCGTCAAATAACCTGTCATTAAGGCAGGGAGAGTGCACTGAAAATCCATATTGGTGTTCAGTTCTAAAGGTTTCTTTTTATGGTTTGGAAAATTAACTGGGTGACTTTATTTGCAATTTATTTCTTGTAATCTATTCAAACAACTGTCAGATAAAAGGTAAAAGATATAGTTGAAAGTTTATAGCAAAGACCAACTTTTTTATGACATCTCTGTTAGGATGACCATCATTTGTAAAGAGTCTTCCCAGTGCATGCAATCTCAAATGTTTCAAAATTCCGGATATTACATGCTTAAGCCTTGCATGTGCAATTCTTCTCCTCTGGATCAATGGCTGAAATACCTGCATTCAGTGTTTAGAAAAATTATTCTGGACCAGTGAAGAAAGGAGCAAGAAAAAAACAAGTTAATATATTCAATTTAATTGCTAGCAACAAGTTAACAGGGCTTGTTTCCAGAAGAAAATTCATAATTCAAAAGCCAGAAATTCAATCTTGAGGATCATTTACGAACTCCAGTCTAACTACCTGATATAGGCAATAATAAATCACAAAAGAAACGGAGACAATGAGTGAAATCAGGATTGCTAAACGACAACTAGAAGCTTCTGTGAAGAAATATTGTGATAACTGGACTATTATGATTGGTATAACAGATATAATCATCATCCTTGCAGCAAAGCTGGTCCAATATCAGTGCTCACACCAGATCCTGCAAACAAAAGAAGCATGCATCCCATTATCGAACACGTATCATTTACCCTTTTAGTATTCCGAATACGATATTGTTCTGCATCAAAATTCCTCCAAGGATAAAATTGAGTATAAATTTCATTATTAAGACTGCTTTGAACTACTATATCTCCAGCCGACTAAAGATCAAATTTTCAAGAAACTAAAAAGCAACATACAGTTGCATAAGTAAAGTAGCATATGTTCTAATGTGTATGCACACAAACAGACCTTCACAGATCAGCATGTAATGCAAAACTGAAGTGTACGCATCAACAAGCACATAGACTTGGTGAAAATATAGGGATATACAAGTTAAGCTGAATCTTTTTGTATCTTTTAAATCTACTGCGGTGGAACCTTCAATTTCTCACTTGCCAACGATAAGGCAGGAGCCCCACAATATGGTGAGAAGCATAACAGTTGATCCAGCCATCAAGCCCATCCCAACAGATACTTGACTTTGAGCAGTTTCTTTGTTCCCAGTTAGTCCAGAATCTATAAAAACATCAGTGCTAATTAGAGTTGAATTAGATTACATTAGTCCATATTTTAAGGTAACCACTCTGTTGCAAGGAGGTTCTTTAACAAAAATGTAAGTATCCGGTAGTAGATCGAAAATCAAACTAGTCTAATAGACAAGCTAAACCAAATTTGAAGAATAAAAAACTCACCGAGGATGATTGCTGCATCAGGAGCAGAGCCCAATACAGGCAAGAGTAAGCCACCAATAATGCCAGGACCAAGAATTTGCAGCAAAATCGCACTTCCATTTGACAAAATTTTGGCACCCTGGAACATTAAGTAACCATAGACAAATAAGGAAAATATTGCAAAAGAGAGAGGTGGTGCATGGCAAAAATCCATAGGCTTGCTCACAGGTATCTGAAGATATCAAGCTGTTAAGTAACATGAATGTTGGTTTCTCAACAGCTTGGATTCCATCAGAGACCATAACAGAAGATAAATTGCTAATGGGCGGACTCTGTGCAGGACAAGCTACTGCTAGATAAAAAAGTATAAGACAGAATGCGAGCTTCCTTCCCATATTTTATCTTGGCTTTCTTTACAAGATTGAAAGGCTTATTGCTGTGTTTTTTGCTGCATAACCTCGGATGATTTATAAATAAGGCTGGAAGCTCATAATTTAATTACTAAGAGTGGGCTAAGATCAAAACGTGATTCAAAATTCAATATAATAATAAGACAGGAAAATCAAGACAACTAAGAACAACCAATGAAATTGGACTAAATGTAAAATGAAAACCAATTTGAGAATAAAATAACTGATGGAATGCAACATCACTAGCCTAAAGTTTCTGATGGAATGCAATATACAGCTGTAAGTGAGCAAGATTTCGATCCGGAAAGCAATAGTTTAGAAAGAGCATGTTGTGTCTATAGCTATAAGAATCACCATCTAGACGTCATCAAAAGTTTTAATTAAATTTATAGAAAAATTAAGGTATCAGTCACATGTTTTCAAGAATGCCGATCTTTTATAGAAGTAGAACGTCCGAGGTTGACTAACCTAACATTAATACAACTTATCATTAGGAAATAAATTAATTCACGTAGTTGATATGAAAATTTATGATTCTACTAGGTGTCTTGCGTCAGTGTCAGGGTATTTTCCAAAGAAATAAACAAGACAGCTGAATCATCATACCAATGAGAATAGAGCAGACAAATTGAGATTCAGATCAAGGTTTTGATCTCCGAGGATAATCTACACAAACAAAATTATGTTTGTTGATGCTTGATTTTGACACCAACGACTTGCACGAGCAAATAGTTAAGAGAGTCTTAGAAATTACACGTGATTGATTCATGAGATTTGAATATAGTGCTGAGATTATATATGTTTACAGAAAACATAAATAATAGATAGACAAGAGAGGTTTTTATAGCGGTTCAAATGCTTAAAGCAAATTCTACATCTATTGTTATTTTATTATTCTCTGTCTATTTCTGTGGTATTGCTCGTAAGATATACAAATATGGTGAAATACTTTGTTTACATAGAAGAATAATGAAGCTCAAATGTTTGCCTAACTCTCATCTGCACAGCCCCCCTCTTTTAAGAAGAGAGGTGCCAATTTATACACCTTTGAGGTCAATGTAATGAGTGTTCTTGCAAGTTGCCTTGACACATGGACAACTCTCCTTCGTCCTTATCTTAAAATGAGATAGGGGTTGTATAAAATATCTTTGAGGCGGAATGAGCTTGATAACTAGTACACTTTGTCCTTTAGGCACTTGTTGAGCTGACATTAGCCTGATTTTTTAGGCATAACAGAACCCCCCCAGTTTTTGGAATGCATAATCGCGCTTAAAAAACTCAGGTCTTTGATCTGAATGGCTGTCACACTATAGGCTGCAGTCTCGAACTGAAGAGCTCGAACTATGCTTGGCGCGATCGGGTGCTGAGAGCTAAGACCGCGATCTGAGCACTTGGAGCAATCCAAAGCTGAGCGCGATCTGATAATTGACATAAAATGTCTAGTAGATGAATTCTTGGAGGGAGCTAACATCAGAAACCCAAACGCACGACTTAGAGGCCTTAAACGGACATGCCAACTTAAACCAGCCATAACTTTTGATCCATGAGGAGTTTTGGAGCCCGTAAGATACCCACGGATAGCTTGTTCCAAGCTCTAGTCATGGGAGCATGGTAACCCGATTGGGGCCATTTTCGGGGCTAAAATCCGCCGTTTTGACATGTTTCAGTGCTGTTTTGAGTTTTCTATGCGTTTTTTCTGACGCTGGCAGTTGGTCATGATCTGAGAACTGAGAACACGGCTTGAGACTGTTCATAATCTCATAATTGAGAGCTGATCGCGATTTAAGAGCTAAGAGCTCGATCATAGAGCATAAAGAGCTCGATCAGAGAGCATAAGGAGCTCGATTAGAGAGCATGAAAAACTCAATCTGAGATCATAAGGAGCTCGATCTAAGATCATAAAGAGCTCGATCTGAGATCATAAGGGGTTCGATCAGAAAGCATGAAGCTTGATCTGAGAACACAAGAAGTTCAATCAGAAAGCGCGAAGCTTGATTTGAGACACACAAGATCAGCAATCTAAGCGCTCGGAAGCGCGACCTGGCCGCTCAGAAGCACTATCTAAATTATCTGAATGCATGATCTCAACGATTTTGAACGCACGATCTGGATTATCTGAGCGTGCGATCTAACCTCTAGATCCGAGAGCTAAAGATCAGCGATCTGAGCGTGCGATCTACGATATGACCACGCGATTCGAGAACTCTGATGCGTGCGATCTGGCCTAGCGATCTGGAGCTGAAGATCAGGGAGCTTGGACGCACGCGATCGGGGAGCTTGAACGTAGATTCGAGACTTGCATGGGCCACCAAACTGTTGATGTTTGATTTTGACACCAACGACTCACATATGCAAAGTGTTAAGAGAGCCTTAGAAATTACACGTGACGGATTCATAAGATTTGAATATGGTGTTGAGATTATATATGTTTGTAGAAAACATAAATAGTAGATAGGCAAGAGAGGTTTTTATAGTGGTTCGTATGCTTAAAGCAAATACACTGTTATTTTATTATTCTCTGACTATTTCTATCATTCTATGATATTGTCCGTAAGACATACAAAGATGGAGAAATACTTTGTTTACATAGAGGAATAATGAAGCTCAAGTGTTTGCTTAGCTCTCATCTGCCCAGCCTCATTCTTTTAAGAAAAGAGATGTCAGTTTATACACCTTTGAAGTTAATGTAATGAGTGCTCTTGCAAGTTGCCTTGACACATAGAGAGCTCTCGTTCGTCCTTCTCTTAAAATGAGATATGGTTGATATAGAATATCTCTGAGGTGGTATAGGTTTGAGAGTTAATACATTTTGTCTTTTAGGCACTTGTTGAGCTGACATCAACCTAATTTTGTAGGCATAACAATGTTAGAGGCATTATTATATTTGATATATATATATATATATATATTATACAAACTTTGCGGAAATATAACTGCTGGCAAACACAGCTTATCTGTGAAATCTTTGAAGAAATAAAATAACTCAAAACTAGTATGATCATTTGAGTTTCTTGCTTAGAAACAAGGCTTAGATTTTTCTTATTCTTTCGAGAACTCGAAGCATATAAAATTTTGAACTCTTATCTTCTACAATGAATTGCTTTAATTCACTCTCGTCTGTTCGACTTACAATGGGTTTATTGGGCTGCTGCACGTTGAACAACAGAACAAAAGTTTTATCAGTTTTTCACAGCTGCAGAAACTTTTTTGTGATGATTTTGGGTTATTTTTCTGGTCTTCGTTCAAGTATAGGATTGTGACTTGGTAATGCTCATGGCATCATTTCATTTTAAACACTTATTTTGATGATGAATGATATAATACTAATCATCAGTGTGCCAATTAAATTTTTAATATACGTTAAATAATATCTCATCAATAGATAAGTCATTCGAGATAAATAAAATAAAACTTTAAAAAAAATTAATTTTTAATATATGCTATAATTATGAAAATAAATATTTCAAACTTTGTATATGTATAGATAAGGCAAAACACAATTTCCTCAGTATAAAGGGGTCGAATGGTTCTTTTTAAAAATCAGATTTTGAAAACTATTCTAGCGAATTTTCACAAATTCAGGTAGAATTAGATATACTTCTCTAGGCAACTCAAAAGATTCTATTTTTTTATTAACAATTTTATTTTATTTTTTAACACTGGATCTGGATGATCCTTGTTCTGTTCTAAGAGGTGGAGTCAAAAGTTTTCCTGACGTGGCAGGCGTTAATTGGTAAGTCCAGAGAGTAGCAGAGAAAACAAAAAGCCACAGCCTTTGAGTGTCTCCGTTAGCATTTTCATTCCCACAGTTGGTGTTTTCTTCTGAAATCAACTCCAAAATTCAACCCAACAAAACCCTAACATGTCCACCCAGAACGAAGAACAAGTATCTTCACCTACCCAATACCAGTCACCTAGAACCCTAGCCCTAGAAATACCCCTAGATATACCAAATCTTCATAACTCTGACCAATTTGAAGAAGATCAGGATGAAGACGATCTAGAGGTGCTTACCCCCGTCTCTCAATCCACTGTCCCCACTCTCAGCCGCCGTCCTCCTATCAAACGCAAGAAACTTAACAAAAAAAACCGACGCGCTGCTGCTCTAGGAAAGAAATGGTTGAAAAAGCTCGGAATTCTTAAGCAAACCCTAAGACCAATTCCTTTCCGCCCCAACAGAAACCTAGATTTCTCCCGCCATGAACCTCTGTTGAAACGAATTGGGTTATGGGATTTTGTTCATCTGGAGTTCGACCCCAACATTCGTACAGATCTCATCGCCCAAATCATCGCAAATTACAACTCGAGCGCTCGTAGCAGCTACGTCAACGGTGCAAGAGTCCGTGTGAATCGGGCGGATTTGTCCCGCGCATTGAAATTGCCGGTAGGGAAGGATAAGAATATCGTCAATGTGAATGCGTCGGACGGTTCTGGGGAGTCTTGTGAGAAAGAATCGGAGGAGTCGATAGGGTTTATCCAAGAGGTAGTGTCGAATTGGATGCTTTTGCATGACGACACGTGGATGATGCCGCAGGATGTGCTGAATTGGATGAATATGATCAAAGAAGGGAATTTTGAGAAGACTTTGTGGGCTACTTTGGTTTGGTTTATGGTGGAGAAAGAGTTAACGGTCTCAAAGTTGGAGAATTGTTATTACGCTTCGCATTTGCAGTGTTTGATCAAATGTCAGAAAGCGGAGTTGTTGAGAGAAGAGGTCAAACAGCAGCAGGGGGAGGTGATAGAGGAGATCAAAGAAGAAGAGGAGGGGGTGAGAGAGGAAGTCAAAGAGGAAGAAGAGGGGGTGGGAGAGGAGATCAAAGACGAAGAGGAGGGGGTGGGAGAGGAGGTCAAAGATGTAGTGGAGGAGGTGAGAGAGGAGGTCAAAGATGAAGAGGAGGAGGTCAAAGATGAAGAGAAGGAGGTCAAAGATGAAAAGGAGAAGGTGAGAGAGGAGGTCAAATATGAACAAGAGGAGGTGAGAGGAGAGGTCGAAGAAGAACAAGAGGTGGCGAGAGGAGAGGTTGAAGATGAACAAGAGGAGGTCAGAGGAGAGGTCAAAGATGAAGAGGAGGTGAGAGAAGAGGCCAAAGATGAAGATGAGGACTGTGATGGGGATGTGAAAATGCATGATGGGGTTGATGATAGTAAAACAACTGAGTTGGAGGAGCATAACATTGAGTTGTGTCTTGGTCAAGATAATGTTGTTAATGTAAAAGAGAATGTTGTGAAAGAGGAAAAGGAGGTTGTCGGAGATGATGATGTCGTCAATTTTGGGGGAAATAAAAATGAAGAACAACAGGGTCCCTGGTTATTGGATGGGAAAAATGATGTGGTTGAGAATGAGCCTTTTTTAAGGGGGTGTACTCTTGGTGATGATAAGGTTATGGATTGTGATGAGGAAAGGAAACAAGAAGTGGAAGAAGAAGGAGAGGAAGAGGGAGGAGAAGAAGAGGAGGAGGAGGAAGAACAGCAGCACGAAGCAGGATTTGCTCTTTCTCCTGAACCTGATACTTTGGAGATGGTATCCTCAGCTAATCTTATTCAAGGAATGGAAACAGTGCAAGTTCCTTTTAATAATGGGATACAGATTTGTGATGATGATTTGCCTGGGGAGTTTCTTTCGTCTAGGGTTGATACTCATACAAATCCAGGCGCTTCATCTTCACATTTTGGTAATGGGAACAAGAGACCTATTGATCAGGAGAATGAGGTGTCTCATCTTAGTGGTAGCAATAAGCGGTTGAGGAGTGGAGGATCATGGGTTAATAAGTCATCTTCAGATTTTCACATGTGTATGGAGCAAATACAGCATTGGATGGGAAAGGCTACAATGATGTATGAGGCAAAAGATCAGGTTTGTGAGGAGTCCAATGTGAATCAACAATTTTTAATTAATGAAGTGCAGAAGCGGGATAACATGATTGAACACTTGCATAAGGCGAAGTTGGAGGAACAACATAAAAGGCAGATTGATGTCTATAAGCTTGAGCGTGAACTTTATGTTATGGCAAATGTCCTTGAGGGATATAGAAAGGCTTTGAAAGAGACTCATAAGGCATTTGCTGAATATAGAGCACGGTGCCCGCAGGCTGATGATCCGCTTTACCAGGATGTTACTGGTGGTGGAGGTTTAGTTCTAAGCACTATGGAACTGGAAAAGGAACGTGTGAAGCAAGAAGAAGAGAGAAGGAAGCAAGAAGAAGAGATGAAGCTAGAAGAAGAGACAAGGAAGCAAGAAGAAGAGATGAAGCTAGAAGAAGAGACAAGGAAGCAAGAAGAAGAAAGAAGGATGCTGGAAGAAGAAAGAGTGAAGCTAGAAAATGACAGAAAGAAGCAAGAAGCAGATAAAAGGAAGCTAGAGGAAGAAGAGACAATGAACCGTGTGCTAATTGAAAAGAAAATTAAGGAGTTTGAAGAAGGATGGATTTCAAACTTCGAAGCACATAATTGTGGGGTTCATATGCTTTCTATGAAGGTGCTTGATGTTGAAAATGAGGTAAAACACTTCAAGGAATTGCTTGCAAAACAAAAGGTTTCTGAAGATACAAAATGCGCTCCAAATGAGTGATTGTCTGGTCGGTAAGTCAATGAATTGAATCATGTTACTAATAGGTTAATGGAGAGGAACGTTTAGCCAAAAAAATTATAGTTTCTGCACCTCTTTTTCTTCCTAGTTTATAGATTTATGTATTTAAATCTTTAGTATGTGTTGATATGTTAAGATGGCGGCAGATCATTTTAGTAGGCTAGAAATGCTATACTATGTTGTCTGCTTGTGATCACTCATCATTTATGAACGTGCAATTTGTGCTTCTTGTTTGCCGTTAAATATGAGCAATGAATTTGCTAATTCCCTGCCCCCAAGCTCCTCTGTATTTGGGATTACGCAAATTAACTATTGCCTGATGAGTTGTTTCTGGGGTGAACTTCTTTGATAGGTGGTGTCTGCAAACTTGTTCCTTATTTGTTATGTTAGCCATTTACTTGTTTCTTCTTTTAAAACATGTTTTGTACACTTTCTCATGATTGCTAAAAAAATGAGGATTAATTTTCATTGTTCTATTTTATTTTTATGGGAAGTTGGTGTGGAGCAATAAGCATCAAATATCTGTATGCCAATATCTAATATTTCTATGGTGAATTTTTTGCTCTAAGTTGGGTTGTAAAATGGAGAATAGAAAATTGATTATGCTGTTGTGCAAAGCTTGTGCCTGCTGCATGTAGATATACAAATTGGAATTTTGCAGAGTGGAAAGAGATCTGAATGTTGCATCTAACAGCAGCAATGACAAGTAGCTAGAATCAGTGTAATACTGCTTGTTTGTTTCAGAAATGGATGAAGTAAGACATCATCTAGGAAATAGTTTCCAATTTATGTAGTTATTTTTCCTAAACTTCCCCTACTTTAAACCTTTGCTTGATGATTGGTTTGTTGGTTTGGGATTTTCTTGTCTCTGAAGATGACCTGCGTTTGCTTTATTATCTTCTACATCGTTTACCAGAGAATGAGAATTGGTCGAGTATTGATGGATGTTACTTGTGCAGCTGCTGATCAGAGTTAGATCTTATCAGGTTAAACTTTGAGGTTAGCTCTGAATCCATGCCTTACGAAAATTATAACTACAGCCTGAGGCAGTGAGAGTCAAGTTAAGAGCGGGGCAACCCTCTGCTGTTTATCACCAGCTATTTCCTGCTATGAGACAGCATTAAAAAATTTGACACTGGGAAAACATATGAACGTTATAAGAAAATTTTAGACTACCACCTCAATAATTTGAGTTGGTGCTACAAACCACTAATAAATTGATATTTTATTAATTTTATTTTAAACCAGAAACTAAAATAAAAGACCAAACTGAACTGAAGCATAAAACAGAGGACCAATAAGATACAATTTAGTAAACTCAATAGGTGTCAATTAATTAGAGGCTTGTGGCATTAATTTAGATTATTCGTACCCTAGTTATACTCTAGACTCTCTCGTATGTTATATATATAAAGCAAACTTGAATAATACCAAAAACATCTCTATGTAATAAGACTCCTTTGAATTTAAGTATTAAAACTTTCTTCCTTTGGGAGCAAGCCAAGCAGCAAAATTCAGCTCACCGATTTTATGGGCTAAATTTTAATGCTAAAGAGTCTTATCAGCACTTTTATAAGAAAACAAGGGGAAATCAAGTGGTGGTAGAGGGTACAAACAAAAGCACTGTAACGCTGTCCATTGCTTGCATATTTACTTATATTCGCTTAATAAAATTTAGCCCAAACTGAGTCAAGGAATAAATTTATGTGAAAATTATTTTCCTAGAAATTCAGTAAAATGATTGAATTGTTGTAGCAAATATAAGAAATAATTTTTGTTTAACTATTAAAAAAATAATACAATTGATCTTAACTATTAAAAGAAAGCGAACGACATGTTCTCACCCAGCGTTAAGTGAAATGGCATGGTCTCATTCCCGGTTTCATAAATTCCAGATTTCCACCCTTACATTAAACGTTATTTCATTTTTTTTTTTTTTTTTTTTCTCTAACTATTAAAAGCTAAAATAGTCATTTATCATATTTTAATATTTTCGTTTCTTCCAAAACATCTCTCTCTCGCCCTCTATCCCCCATCCTGTTCATCCCGCAAATCGTCGGCCGTCGCAACCTTTTGCTTCGCGCGATTGTTGCTCCATGGCCGGATTCCGGACGATTGAAGGCACCAACACCTCACCTGACACTACCATGGGCTTCATCCCCCCACCCTCATCAAAACCCCATAACCCCCTGGCCGCACCAACTCGCTGTTCACCGGCTACTGCAGCTGATCTCGTGCGACTGTCGCGCACTTGGAAGCCTCACCACCGCCAGTTTTTACCTCAAATCAAACACAATTAACACCTGCTTCTAATTGCTTATTGTATTTGGTTGATTGTTGTGTGTAGTCAGGTCGCCAACGACCCCCGTGTCATTGGATTTCTGCACTCCTAAGCCATGCCCACAACCTGCTCGAAGAAAAGCCACGCCCACAACCAACACCAAATCTATTTTTTTGGGACTAATTTAAACTTTTTAGGGAAATTTTTGTAATATATTAAAAATTGAGGGATTAATAGGAATTTTTAAAAAATAAAATTATCGCTGACGTCATCGGTTTAACCGATTGACCAATTGACCCGTCATCGGGCAGCAAAACGGGTTACCCTCCTAGTTTTAAAACAATGATTTAGGGAACTCAAGCACTATACTAATTAAAGCTTATATGGACGCTGCGATTATCAAAAGAAATTATAATAATAATAGATTGTACAGAGTATAACATGCATTGATATTCATTTATAATTTTTTAAATAATAACATTTATAGTATTAATTTATAAAATACGGATAATATATTTCACTTCATAGAGTTAATAAAAAAAAGAGTTCCAAATTAAGTCAATAAAGACTTCAAAGTTTCATATACCTTTTATTATGGAATTTGTAGTCTCTTTTTTAACATCACTACTATACGTGGACCGATTGGATATTGTATCAAAGATTCAAAATATAGACTTTTTAATTGTTAATAATTTGATATTTCAATGATTGATCTTAATGCTTACCTTCATCATGACTTTTTAAAATCTAGACTTTTTAATTAGTTAATAATTGCATAAATTTAATACTAAGAGTGGGCTAAGATCAAAACGTGATTCAAAATTCAATATAATAATAAGACAGGAAAATCAAGACAACTAAGAACAAACCAATGAAATTGGACTAAGTGTAAAATGAAAACCAATTTGAGAATAAAAAATACATGATGGAATGCAACATCCCTAGCCTAAAGTTTCTGATGGAATGCAATATACAGCTGTTAGTGAGCAATATTTCGATCCGCAAGCAATAGTTTAGAAAGAGCATGTTGTGTCTATAGCTAAGAAATCACCATCTAGACGTCATCAAAAGTTTTAATTAAATTTATAGAAAAATTAAGGTATCAGTCACATGTTTTCAAGAATGCCGATCTTTCATAGAAGTAGAACGTCCGAGGTTGACTAACCTAACATTAATACAATTATCATTAGGAAATAAATTAATTCACGTAGTTAATATGAAAATTTATGATTCTACTAGGTGTCTTGCGTCAGTGTCAGGGTATTTCCAAAGAAATAAACAAGACAGCTGAATCTTCGTACCAATGAGAATAGGGCAGACAAATTGAGATTCAGATCAAGGTTTTGATATCCGAGGATAATCTACACAAACAAAATTAGTTTGTTGATGCTTGATTTTGACACTAGCAACTTGCACGAGCAATAGTTAAGAGAATCTTAGAAATTACATGTGATGGATTCATGGATGAATATAGTGCTAAGATTATATATGTTTACAGAAAACATAAATAATAGATAGACAAAGAGAGATTTTTATAGAGGGTCGAATGCTTAAAGCAAATTCTACATCTATTGTTATTTTATTTTTCTCTAGCTATTTCTGTGGTATTGCTCGTAAGATATACAAAGATGGTGAAATACTTTGTTATAGAGAGGAATAATGAGCTCAAAGTTTGCCTAGCTCTCATCTGCACAGCCCCCTCTTTTAAGAAGAGAGGTGCCAATTTATACACATTGAGGTCAATGTAATGAGTGCTCTTGCAAGTTATCTTGACACACGGACAACTCTCCTTCGTCCTTATCTTAAAATGAGATAGAGGTTGATAAATATCTTTGAGGCGGAATGAGCTTGATAGCTAGTATCTTTGAGGCAGAATGAACTTAATAGCTAGTACACTTTGTTCTTTAGGCATTTGTTGAGCTGACATCAACCCGATTTTTTAGACTAGCAGAACCCCCCCCAATTTTGGAATGCGTAATCGCGCTTAAAAAACTCAGGTCTTTGATCTAAATGGCTGTCACACTATAGGCTGCAGTCTCGAACTGAAGAGCTCGAACTTTACCTGGCATGATCGGGTGCTGAGAGTTAGTACCGCGATCTGAGCGCTTGCAGCAATCCAAAGCCGAGCGTGATCTGATAATTGACATAAAATGTCTAGCAGACGAATTCCTGGAGGGAGCTAACGTCAAAAGCCCATGCACAACTTAGAGGCCTTAAACGGACAGGCCAACTTAAAACAGCCATAACTTTTGATCCAGGAGGAGTTTTGGAGCTTGTAAGATACCCACGGAAAGCTTGTTCCAAGCTCTAGTCATGGGAGCAGATAACCCGATTGGGGCCATTTTCGGGGCCAAAATCCGTCGTTTTAACATGTTTCAGTGCTGTTTGAGTTTCTAGGTTTTCTGACGCTGGCAGTTGGTCATGATCTGAGAACTGAGAACACAGCTTGAGAATGTTCGTAATCTCATAATTGAGAGCTGATCGTGATTTAGGAGCTAAGAGCTTGATCATAGAGTATAAAGAGCTCGATCAGAGAGCATAAGGAGCTCGATTAGAGAGCATGAAAAACTCGATCTGAGATCATAAGGAGCTCGATCTGAGATCATAAGAGCTCAATCTAAAATTACAAGGGGTTCGATCAGAAAGCATGAAGCTTGATCTGAGAACACAAGAAGTTTAATCAAAAAGCGCGAAGCTTGATCTGAGACACACAAGATCAGCAATCTAAGCGCTCGGAAGCGCGACTAGCCGCTCGGAAGCACGATCTAAATGATTGAACGCGTGATTTGGATTATCTGAGCTGCGATCTGACCTTTCGATCCGAGAGCTAAAGATCAACGATCTGAGCGGGCGATCTGCGATATGACCACCAGACCGAGAACTCTGATGCGTGCGATCTGGTCTAGCGATTGGAGCTGAGGATCGGGGAGCTTGGACCCACACGCTAGGGAGCTTGGACGCAGATTCGAGACCGCATGAGCCACCAAACTATTGATGCTTGATTTTGACATTACGACTCACATGTACAAAGTGCTAAGAGCCTTAGAAATTACACGTGACGGATTCATAAGATTTGATATGATGTTGAGATATATATGTTTGCAGAAAACATAAATAGTAGATAGGCAGAAAAGTTTTTATAGTGGTTCGTATGTTTAAAGCAATACACTGTTA